AGTAAAACAAGCTGCAACAATAAACTGGTCCTTTCGTGTGACACGGTGACAAGGACCAGCCATTCAGACTGTGAAGAGTAACCCTGTCCCTAGCCTGGCTTTGACACTGGCACTCGGCGTTTTGCTGAGCTCCAGGTCTCCTGCTGAGCTGCCGGGCTGTAGGGACAGGGTTCTGGGAAGCGGCAGCAGAGATGGGGTGGAGAAGCCGGGGAAGGCGGCACGCGGGCCGAGGTGCCAGCTCTCGCCAGCCCAATGCGTTGCGCTCGGGACATACTCGATTGTAAAGTACTCAGGGGTTTTGATACTGCAGCCAGGGCCGTTCCTCGGGTGAGCGCTCCGCTTCGCAGCGGGTCCCATTCCCTGGGAATCCCAGGCCAGCTCAGGTTTCGCAAGGAGCAGCCAAAAAAAAAGGCCCCCAGCCTCTCAAGCACCCACAGCAGTGGGCCTGATGCTCCCGCTCCCGGTGCAGATTTGCCCCCGGGATATACACCCGGCTGGGAAAAACACCCGCTCGCCCTCTTCCCGCAGATCCCAGCTCGCTCTGGGAAGGCACAAGCCGGCAAGGGCAGGAAGCAGCTCGGGAAGGGGCTCTCCAAGGAAGCGTGCAGGGCAGTGGGGAGCTGAGCAGGAGGCTGCGCTGCTGCTCAGCCCCACCGTGGCCACCGCATTCGCGCTCCAAAGAGATTCCCATCAGAAGACATTTTCACCAGGCAGCTGCAGCAGCCTTGCTACTAGTTTTCTTACCTATTAAAAAAGAAAAGAAAAAAAAAAGATAAAATAAGTAAATAAATTTTAAAAAAAGAAATGTGATAGCCTAGGCGGTGGATAAATACCTCAACATCTCCTTCCAACAAGTGTCTGTATATGTTGTTGTTGGGTTTTTCTATCTTACATGTTATCTGAATGTTTATATTCCAATAAACTTCTACCTCTTCACACGGTGACCCTGCAAGGCTGGTTTGGGGCAGTGCCGGGGGGCAGCTTTTCCTTTTCCCAGATTTTTCTCCTAGTTGCAGTGGGGATTGCTGCACTGGCCTGGCCTCACACTTGCTTTATTCGGGACTCAGCAGAGGATGAGGCTCGGGAAGCTGCCTGCCATTCAGGTATCTGGGGGGAGTTCAAGCAAGTTCTGAAACTGCATTTTCCGTACACAAATGTGGATGCTCCTCGTTGCATCAGCTCTGAGTTCATCTCTCCTTGGCTCAGACTGGGCGCTTACAAGATGCTCTAAACGAGCTGTGAATTTTTGAGTATCTAGGATTAAGCTTTAGCCCTGTGCAGAATTCCTTCTGGGAAAGGCAGTGAAAACAGTGCTGGAAGTGGGGTCAGCTCCGTTCCCGCTGTTCATCCAGCCTTGGGATCTCCTGCCGGAGAGTTGGGAGCATCAGGGAGAACAACTCCCGCATGGCAGGAGCTGCTTCAACAGAGCATTGAATGCTCCCCAGCAGCGGGTGTTTGCACAGCAGCAGAAGTCGTTTTTCCAGTTGTGGAACCAGTTAGGTTGGAAATGACTCTCCAGAGCTTTTTTTTTTTCTGGTACCAGCGTTTCCGGGGCCCCAGTCTTGGTGTTTGCTTTGGCCGTGGGCCCGTGTGCAGGAGCTGAGCGCGGCGACGGGAACGGCCGCGCGGCGTCCCCAGCACGCGGCCCATGGAGCGGCTGCTTGGAGGCAGCTCACGCGTCGCTCCGCGCCTTGTTCCATCCGGTACCGGAGCTCTGAAATCCTGGTGCCTCCCACAGCATCCCGGCCCTTTTGGCTCAGCTGTCCCCGAAGGGCCTGGCCCTGCGCCGCAAAGGGTCATTGGACGCTGCTGGAGCCTCTCCTGGGCTCCACTCCCAGCCTGTCCAGGCGGCTCGAAGCAGAGCCGCCGCGCTGCCCCGCCGGGGTTTCGCCGGGGATCTGGAGTCCAGCCTCATCCATGGGAGCTGAGCCGAGGCCCCGCTCAGCCTCCCCGCAAGCCCTCGGCAGCAATAAGGAGAAGGGTGGGATGCAGCTGTGCGAGACGCAGTGAGCGCCCGAATGCGGCCGGTCCCTCCTATCCTGCTGCCCCGGCCCGCGAGCGCTGCTTGCTTCCCAGCAAGTGGCAGAGAGCTGAAGGGGGCACAGCCTGGGTTAAATCCTCTGGAAATGGGCCCCATCTCGGAGCAGTCCCCGGCAACGGACCAACAGATTCGCCAAGGGCCACGGTCCCCCCGCTACTGTCAGGAGAGCGCTTCTGAAATGCTCCGTGGCTCCAGTGGGCCAATAAGCGGCGCTTCTTCCGTCCTTACCATGGGGGCCAAAGGGCTGGCACTGCCCTGGCCACTGCTTCCGCTGCCTGCTCTGCCGCCGGCTCAGCAGCGTGCCGGGCTCCGCACCGAC